ACCAATCAGAGGAGTCCTTCAGCTCCCAGTCACCCACTGCTGATTCTCCTTCAATGCGAACAGATGAAGGAGCTGCGAGATGCTTCAGATCAAAGCAGGACGTTCCTCAAAGTAAACAGAAGTTGTTACAGATAATAAATGGTAGAGAGAAGCTGTGAGGTCCAGAACAAACGGATCAGATTGTTCTGTTTGGTCCCAGAAGGTTTAGTTCTGTTAGAACTTCCTGGAGATATTTGGACTGTTCTGATGTAAAGCTGCTTGGGTTCTTCTTCACCTTCCTTCCTGGAATGAGTTCCAGCTTCATGGTGAAAACAGGAACCGGTTCCTGGTGAACAGAACCAAGGCATCACCTCTGAGATCCAAACCACTGAGGCTGGTTTCATGCGGACGCTTTCCAACGCTCTCGCTATCCAACACCAGGCACATCACCAGCAGCTCCAGAACCGGTCCGCAGAGGTTTGGATTCTGACCCGTTCCCACACATGGCACATGTTTATGGTGGTTGGGCCGGCGGTGCTGCGACATGAGTCCTTCCACCTCATCTGCTTATGAGTCAGAACCAGAACCACTTCCAGTCCTCTCAGTCAGAACCAGAACCACTTCCAGTCCTCTCAGTCAGAACCAGAACCACTTCCAGTCCTCTCCCAGGACAGAGCGGTCACATGAAGGAGTGGTCCGCTGGGGGTCCGTAGGAAAAGCCCGGGAAGGCGCCGGCCGCCTCCTTCATGCTGCTGGTCACCATCACCGTGTCGCTGCACAGGGAGGACGACACCGGCAGGTGGGTGAACTCTGGGTCAAAGTGGCGAAGGTCAGTGGGGCCGGACTGCAGGACAGAGGACAAAGAATCAGAACCTGAAACGGACCCGGTCGCTCACGGCTAACTGCTAACTGCTAACACTGAGCAGACCCAAAACTAGCCAACAGAACCCCGGTCAGAACCAGAACCAGTTAAACTCTGGTTCTGGACCACAGGCTGGGAGTCTATGGAGTGAACTTTTTGGAATTTGAAAAAAAATAAAAATAATTACATATATATAATTTTTTTTCTTAGATTTTCTTTTCAGTTTTCTTATAAAAAAATTTCAATTGTCTTTTATTTTTCATTTTCAAAATGCATTTTCCAGATCAGATTCTCCTCATTTCAGGGGGCGGGACTTCCTCTGGAGTCAAGATGCATTTCTATTGGTCTACTGGATGTTAGCAGCTTTTTTATTGGTCAGGAGTTTGAATAGGCTGAAGGTTAGACAACAGGATCTGGAAAATGCTATTTGAAAAGAAAACAACTCAATAAACTGAATCTCGACATATTTGGGGAAAAAATCAGCTTAATAGATCTGCTTTTAAATATAAAATCTGAAAAAAAGGGATAAATAACATTTTGAAATTATAAAATCAGGAAAAGATTTTTTTGAAAGAGGAAAAATCGCATCTAACAAAGGAGCAATTTTTCTCTTAAATACTGTTATAAATATTTAATTTCCCAAACCTTCATGTCTGAACTGCATTTCTTTTTAAATTTGAATGAACAGAAAGTTATTTCCAAATGAAACAGAACGATATTCCCTCCATAGAGTCAGAACCAGCCCAGATTATCAGGACCCAACCAGAAGGTTCTGGTTCTGTTCAGACAGCGGAAGCAGCTGTGAGGTGGGTTCTGAACGTACCACGGAGGGAACGAAAGGAGGGCTGATCTTCTTGGCCATCAGGTCGTCCCAGTTGATGGGGGAGAAGAAGCAGTGGTACTTCAGCTCCAGCTGCAGAGGGAGACAGACAGACAGACGGTGAGGAAGGCCCTGCCTGCTGCTGGGAGGCAGCCATGAGGGGCAAATCTGCACAGACTTACAAAGTCATCCTTGGCCCCCAGCCTCTTGGAGCGCTCCTTCTGCAGGAGCCCCTCCAGCAGCTCTCTGCCGGCGTTAGAGATGTTGGGTTTCAGCACCGGAGCCTTGTGGAGGATGTTGTTGTACATCTCTGCTGTGTTTCTGCTGTAGAAAGGAGGCTGGGGGGGGGGGAAGGAGCAACGTCAACCTGAGCTCCATTAAAAAGAGCAGAAAGAGGACAGAAGGAGACACTCACGAGTCCATAAAGCATCTCGTAGAGCACCGATCCAAGGCACCACCAGTCCACAGTCCGGTCGTACGCCTGCTTCTGCAGGACCTCAGGGGCCAGATACTGTGAAGACATCACTGACCATCAAAAACAGGCCGATTTTCTCATCCTTCTTTCCTTCTTTGGAGCTGAAACGTACCTCAGGCGTCCCACAGAAGGTGGAGGTGGTTCCGTTGGGATCGAGGCCTTCCTTACAGAGTCCAAAGTCTGTGAGGACGATGTGGCCCTCTGAGTCCAGCAGGATGTTCTCAGGTTTCAGGTCTCTGAGGAAGATGGAAGAGCAGGGCGGATTAAAACTCCCAATTATGGTTATATGACCTCATGTGGCGTTTGAAACTGGAAACAATTTGATGTTCTCTTCAACACTCCACTGGTAAATTTCAAAACGTACAATAATGCTCCAGCTTAATTAGATTAATTTCTTTAAAATGTGTTCCATTTCTGTCAGCGACAGGAATGTAGAGCGTTGGATAAATACTTTTTTGTATTCACGAACTATATGTACGTAAGGAAAGAGAAAATTCAATAAAAATAAAAAAACCTCCCAATTATTCCCTTCATGCGATGCACCCTGACGTCCACCAGAGGGCGCCGCATGACCGCTTACCTGTAAACGATGTGCAGAGAGTGAAGGTATCCAAGGGCACTTGCGATTTCAGCAGCGTAGAACCTGGCCCTGGGCTCCAGGAAGACGCGCTCCCTCTGCAGATGGTAGAAGAGCTGCAGAGGACAAACATCTGTGAACATCTGGATCCAACTGATCTCAGCTCTGCAGCAGATTCTGGAGACCAAACCCACCTCGCCTCCGTTCACATAGTCCAGCACGAAGTAGAGTTTGTCAGCAGTCTGGAAGCTGTAGTGCAGCCCCACCAGGAAGGGGTGCTTCAGGTTCTTCATCAGCACGCTGCGCTCCGCCATGATGTGCTTTTGCTGCAGGACAGTCAGAGGATCCATTAGTGTCTCCCTTCATTTGGAGCTAAAAACAGCTGGAAGAAAAGTTGGTGCAGAGTAGACTCACCTCTTTCTTCTTCAGGATGATCTTCTTCTGCAGAACCTTCACAGCGTAGTATTTGGTGGTCTCCTTGTGTCGGGCCAGCAGGACCTGAACAGAAACGAGTCAAAAGGAATCAGAAAGATCTAGAAGCAGATGAATGAAGAGCGAACATGAGAGCGAGCGGCGCCTACCTTCCCAAAGCTGCCTTTACCGATGATTTTAAGGTAGTCAAAATCACAAGGTTTGATCCTGGAGCAGAAATAAAAGAGAAAATCAGAACTTTCCTCTCTGAGAGCGAGATTAGGTTCACTAAGGAAGAGCTGAGATGCTGCTGGAGACTCTCAGGCATCCAGGTCATCCGGGTTAGAGTCATTCCAAAAAGGTAAAAACAATCCACTGGACTTTGGTTCCCAGTTTGAAGATGTTTCTCTTTCCATCTCTAAATGTCAGAAATACACTGAAAAATATGCATCCGTTTTTGGCTTTGACTTAATCACATTTAGTTACTTTAACACAATTCTGACATTTTGAATCGAAAAAGCTTCCTGGATGGGAAGAGAAACTTGGAAACAAAGTCCAGTGGATTGTTTTTAACTTTTTTATCTTTTTACTTTTTGAAAAAAAAGAGCTGAGAATAGAGATAAAAACTCACTGAGTGTCTTCTGCCAGGGAGGTCCGAGAACCGAGACACATCTGGAAGATCAGGAGGAACATGAATGAAGAAATGAAGAAAAAAAGAAGGTAAAGAGAAAATAAAGTGAACTTACTGGATTTCCATCTTCAGCTTCATTCTGATTCTCATCGATCTTCAGGAAGTTGTTGACCTCAGAGCTGCAGGACAGAAGGACAGACAGACAGAGGATGAGAGGATGTCTGCAGACCGGGGTCAGGCTGTGACCTCTGAGGCTTCAGGCTCAGCAGTCTGACGGGGTGGGGGGGCAGATGCGTGGTTTTCCACGCACCGCACCGAGCTGGACGGGGGGGGAGCGAGCCGCGAATCATGGAACACTTTAACTCCAGATTTATCCTCCAGGGAACATGAGGGATTATCTATTCTTACTTCTCGGTGAGCAGATTAGCTCAGTCTGCGGTGATTGGATCGGCCCGCGCGCCCCGCGCATGAATGGGCTGAAATAACCCCGCAGCATCGGGGCCCCGCAGGTCCCGCTCCGGACCCAGTCCCCCCCCCCTGTAGCCCAGGCTGTGATACTCACTGCTGGCAGATGTGCGGGGTGGACACCAGCTTCTGGATGAAGTCGTTCAGCCCCATTTTCCTCTCCTTGATGAAAGCTGCAGAGAACAGAGAAGCGGGTCAGAACCATCCGAACCGGAACCTCAGCATCTGGACCTCCCTGCTGGCTGACTGACTGACTGCTGAGACTCCTGCAGGCTGATTGTTACGCAACCAGTCGGGTTTCCATTCACAGAGCCGAGCGGTATTTTCCATTCAGCCTCCGCAGCGCATGCGCACTGCTCCGCTTTTTCAAATTTAAACCACTTTCTGAGAAAGCAGATCTAAACGCGTCTGTATTCAGATTGTTCTGTCGGCTCTGCGAGTCGGAACCGGCCAGTCGGAACCGGCCAGTCGGAACCGGCCAGTGGGTCGGCTGTTCCAGGCTATTCTGATGCTCACCGGTGAGAACCGCAACGATGCCCCGCATCTTGCAGTAGGTCAGGTCACATCCAGCCTCAGTCACCGCCATGTTCAGCGCGCTGCGGGAAGCCAGTTTGAACAGAAGCAGGAAAATAATCAACTTTAAAAGCAGAAAGTCCGATCAGAGGATCAGTGTCCCGTTAGTCCAGCCGCTCCGCTCTGAAGGTCCGCCTGAGACTGCTGAGGCGCGCTCCCGTGCGCGCTGCTTTATACAGGGCACGTGGTCCCCCCCTCCGACCCGCCTACTGCTGCGTCACTGGTAACCGCAGCAACAAGACCGGAGCCGTGACGTCACGGGATTCCGCTGCAGCAGCATCACTTTGCGTGAAGGATGGAGAGGAGGAAGAGGAGGAAGAGGAAGGGGCTCTCTGCCCCCTCCTCATCCTCTCTGTCTGCGCTGCAACATCTGCCTCAACATCTGCAGCCTCTGAGCCCAGAGGTCATCCTCCCGAAGAGGATGACCTCTGGGCCCAGAGGTCATCCTCCCGGAGAGGATGGGTGGAGGAGGGTCTAACGGTGACGTCATGCTGCTCCAGCTGCTGCTGAGGTGCTCCACTAACCTCCAGGTTGCATAACTGTGTCATAATGCAGATGATGGTCCTGCTGCAGAGCAACGCTGAGCTTCTGCTCCATGTCCAGCATGAAGGTCAGACTGCAGCAGCTTCCTGATCCGAGCAGCAGAGAGAGACAGAAACTCACATCCAGATGATCGAACCTTCCTTCCAATAAGACGCTTCAGGACAGGAAAGCCTCAGGGTGACCTTCTGCACCACAGGACTTCATGAAGAAGGACAGCAGTGACCTGAGATCCTTTATTAATTATAATAACGCATCTTATTTGCAGGCTGCACCTTTTAAATCAACCAACCTAGATCTACAATTTTAGAAACAGAAGATGCAGTCAGTGGAGGTCTGCAGTCTGGATCAGAGCAGCTTTCAGCCTTGATTTAAGGCCAGAGGGTCTCTGGAGCAAATTCCACCTGAAAATCCATCTGTGAATTAAATCTGTTGAAGTTCTGCTTCCACACTATAAATTGGAAATAAAATTGTTTGTATTTTAATGACAGAAATGTATCGAGGAATATTTTTCAGGTGGAACGTCTATTTTAAATGTCACCATGTCTGATTTACAGGCGATTAAACAAAGAAAAAATGGAAAATATTTATCCTCGCCATTTTCTTTTTTTCCAAAATAAACTCAGCAGAACACGATGAAAGCCCATTAGAAACTCTGGATGAACCCTCAGACTATAGATCCACAACTAGACTAGAACTCAGGCTAATTTGGACTGAATCAGTTGAAGTTGATGTGACTGAGTTGTTCTGTTTTAGCTGCTCTCAGAGGTTCTTCCGGGTCGCCTGTTCAGGTCCATTTAGCTCGGGCGAGTCAGAGTGAAACTGGTGATAGTCACGCCTGATCTAGAGGAAGTGACACTGATCTGCATGTTTACGTGTTTCTGAGCAGAAAGAGGAAGCCATCTGCGTCTGTGTCGTCCCCTTTTTCACCATTCTGCTTCATTCTATCTC